AATTTTTGAATTTTGTAATAATTGAAAAGCACAAATGTAAAAATAAGTTTTTAATCATATAATCACGACACGCGAGTAGGAAATTTTTTATTTGAAGATTAAAAACAAATAATTCTCAAAGACGCGCAAACACGTTTGTTTGAAACTAAACATCAGGGAGTTTGAAACCCGCGCGGATTTCCGCGATTGATTTATTTTTTTGCCCCAACCGCATGATAACTGTGAAACCATCGCGGTTTCCATCAGCTGCCGTTACTACTCGAGAGGAACCGAAGGATGTGTTAGGGTGGAGGGAGGGATAGATGTACTGATATCCCCAACGAGCTCTTGGTAATGCAGAAAGCGTGTCACTGCAACAAATCCGTACTCCCCGGCATTACGTGTCCCCGGGTAAGTGCGGCGGAGTGGTGCTCTCTCAAAGTGCTCGGGGCTCCTTTAACTTACCTGAACGATAAAGTTCTTTGAAAAGTCACCCGTCAGAGCGTATGACGCTATCGCGCGCGCGAGAGAGTTTATTCCCGAAATTTACAAAAATATCAATATTACTCAAAACTCTCGACCTAACAAAACGCTACGATCTCACGTTTCTACGGAACCGTTTGTTTGCGAAGAAATTAAGAACGGACACATTTTCTTTCGATCCGATTATTCGTAATTGAAAAAAATGTGTCTCGTGTTTAAGTGATAAAAAAGACTCTTCCAAACGGTGAATTAGAAAAATGCAAAATTTCAAAATACAACGCACGTGCTGTCGTGTAACTTTTACACACGTAATACACATATGAGAAGTGTCCGAAATAACGCGTGAAAATCAAATTCGAAAAATAATGAGAAAGAGGAGTGGAAAAACAACACGTGACTACAGTCACGTGACTTTGCTTTAGTCACGTGTGTTTGAAAACCGGATTGAAACGCCACAGTACTCGTCAAACTCGAAAAATAGAGAGAGATAGTAGAAAGTGAAAAAACAACACGTGACTAAAGTCACGTGATCGGTAATTTTTATGTAAAATCTCTTTTTCCTGTAATACGGATGGAAATAGTCACCGAGATTTATATTGTTGTTGTAATGCGAATTTTTAACAAGCGAACGCCCGTTCACGAGATACGCGGAAATTTATAATAACGCAATGATCTAATTTATGTTGCGCGTGCTTAACAAATATAACGTAATGCTGATTATCGTCGAAACACACCGTTTCCGCTTGCTCATCGTTTGCACATATGTGTGTGTGTGTGTGTGTGCGTGTGTGCATTTAGATGGGATCGAACGTCATTTTGGCAGGATCAATCGTCATCCCAAAGGGATTAAGCGCTAACTCTGTAAGCCCCCGCGCTTCCATGTTGGATTAAATTTGCACGTTGCGTAAATATGAGGCAATTAATCTGAAATAAATAGCTATTGCGCTTCGCGGAGCGAAGGGATTCAGAGAATATTGAAACACAGTAATGCAAAAATAATATTCATTTCTCTCGATAATGCTTATCGATAAATGTTTTTTTTTTTTTTACCGAGAAACAAATTGTCTCATTTCTTTGTTATTTATTTGTTTGTTTTTTGAGGAATAAAATTCGAATATATCGTGTCACGTGTTGACATCGGACGTTGTTCGATTCGATTTTAAGCCGTACGTTCGACTTCGCGCGTGAAGATTTCAAAACGCTACTGGATAATTATTATTCACGAAACCGAGAATAAAACTATCTTGTTATTATGTGTGTATATTTTATATGTCACAGACTTTGCATAAGCGCGCATTTGAAATTGTCTCGTTTCCCCCTCGGGGAAATGGGAGAAATGCGCATAAGTTTCTTGAAAAATCGGCAGCGATACCGAGGCCGACTCTTTCGCGAAGTCTCCGAAATTGCGAGATTCTATCTTGACAAGAATGTATCTCGCGTTGGCAATGGAGAAAAGCTTTAGTCGCACCTCCGTTCTTTCTCTCTCTCTCTCTCTCTCTCTCTCTCTTCTGCTTTCTTCGAGAAGGATCTTGAGAGCGGGAGAGAAGAACAGCCTGAGGATACTCTTAACGGAACGGTAAATTGCCTGGAAACTGCTGTACTATTTACGGACAGCGTTTTCTCTCCTGCGGACTGCTCGCGCGGTCGATTTCGAAGCTCGCGACTTCCGACTCGTCGAAATCGAAATCGTAAATTTCGAGAAAATTCACAGACATCTTATGCAATATATCGTGGCGGAGAGTTTAGAGATATATATCGGGATAATATTTTCATCCCTTTCTCCCTCTCGCGCTCAAAATAACATTAAAAGCGGAGACGAATTACGCGCTTTGGCTTCTGCGGAATGAAAATAGCTACGACGACGAGCAGGTGTGTCCGCTCTTCTGCGGACGCGATCTCGAATTCCTCGAGCGGTTCCGGAAAACTGCTTTACTTTATGCAAATCAACTTGGCCGGAACGTGATCCGATTAGCGACTTAAACACTTGGCGTACACACACTCCTCGCAAGCCGTGTGGAGAGCCAGATTTAGCGGATGATTAGAGTTTTTCCGGATCTTCACGTGTGAACACGAAAGTTAATTTTTTTCCTCTCTTACGCGCGTTTTCTCGTAACAAAAAAAATAAAATTCGCGCCACCTTGTACGACAAAGCAAAAATTACATAAATTTTCGCATCGCGCTCGGTGTAAAACAATTATTGTTATTACAGAAAGTTTTTTATATTATCAATATCGCATTAATTAATTCTCTTGGTCTTTCATTCAATTTGCAATGATCAATGTCGCATAATATCGGATACGTTATCCGCATATTGTTGGGCGAAAATTAATCAGACCGTTCATGATACCCGATCTGGTTAATTCCCTCATTATCGCTTGAAATATACACCTATTGTGTATTGTAATTACTTATATAGTACATTCAATATTGATGATAATTTTCATGACTTTGACGTTTTATTTACACGTGAGACTGCAATCAACGTTTCAACGGGCGAGTTAATCTGGTGCGAAAAATATATGCGTACAAAAAAAGAAAAAAAAAATATACACGGGGAAAAAAAAGTTTCGCTGTTACACGGCCAGCAAAGAAAAATTTGCCGAGTCTAAACTTTTTGTTTGATCAACAAAATGTTTTGTTGGTTGAAACAAAAAAAATTTAATAGACTCAGTAAATTTTTCTTTGCCGGTCATATATATAGCATAACTAATCTTCTTGCTGTTGCAGCGAAAAAACTTTTTTTTTCCCGCGGCAGTTTGAAAATTACACAAGAGCGAGTTGTGTACTTGAAAAACAATAATTTTAATTAAAAAAACGTTAAGCTTCTACACGGGATAATTATATTTTGCAGAGAAACGGTGTGTGTGTCTCTTCTGTAAGCTCTCTGGACTCTCCGCCAACTATATAATCTTTCTTCGCAAAGATTCGCCCGGTGTATGGAGAGAGGCGCGTGTCGTTCCTCTTTTCGCGACTTGAATGCAACATCAAGAATGAATGAGAACGTCTTCTTGTCGGAAACGTCAAACATGTCTTGTGTCACGACGTTTATTTAGCGAAGTGCACCGTCTCCTTCTTAGTGCTCACCTTTCCCTGGAGCCCTCTTTATCCTTGCTTGTCGGTTGTGCCATCGTATCTGATATAGTCACCGTTATTCACTTCCATCCTATAAAAATATATAGCAGTCGGTCGATATCGTCCAACGTACGGTCGATGGAAGATCGTTGTCCTACGATGGCCGTTTCAGTTCCATCGGGAACGTTCCGAAGCACTATGTCGCTGCCTCTCGCGTTGACTCTCTCGCGGATAATATCGCTTAAAAACGCGCGAGAAGACAAACGGCACTTCGGAAGAGCTTCCGTTCGCGCGCAAAACCAAAAAAAGGTCCAATGTGAAATCTACGGTCGACTTCATCCTTCGACTGTATAACCACAAACTGCCAGTCGATATTTTCACATCTTTTCTCCTGTTTTTTTTTTTTTTTTATCAAAAACTTTACCGTCGCAACGACGTGTAGGAATACGTGCAATTTGTTTCACGAAAGAAGACGCGAAACGTTTATCGAAGAACAAACCGCCATTGCAGAGACGCGTGCGAGGCAAAAAAAAAACATTGTAGTCTCCGATGGATTTTTATGTAAAAAAATTCTTCCGCTTTTTGTAATTATGAGAAGATAAATTTGTAAGAATACCGTCGGAAGAAAAAATGGTAATCTAATAATTCTAGTGTAGAAAACACACGCACATCTACAATTACGCTACGTGTAATTGCTGCATTGTCGTTAAAACTTTTTTCTCCACGAGCGAAGTTTTGCAAATGTTTTTACGTATCCAAACTAACTCCGCTACCTTCTCTCTGGTTTTTTCCTTCGTTAATATCCGTAATTTCAACCGACTTTCTTGGTGCTTTCGTTTAAGTGACGGTTAGTAATTTCGCGCAAGTTCTTGCGAGAAAGAGACAGAGAGAGACAGAGAGAGAGAGAGAGAGAGAGAGAGAGCTTGTTTCGATAAAAGAGAAAAATAAAATCTCGCATTTCTCACTTGTAAGTCCTGATGACGGTTATTTCGTTTTTCGAGGGCGGGACGAAGACGATTTACGCGCAGATCTATACATGAATATACGATACGGAAAACGCTTTTTGCTTGAACGCGCGCATTGAAATTTTCCACGATTGCTATGGGAATTCATATTGGGATTTTCTGTATATTTACAGACTCGAGCAATAAATGTCCCGCAACACAAGTCAAGTACGTTAATTTACATCGTGAATTCATATTAAATAACCTTTGGGCTTCTGGCGAGTGTTCAATGAAACGTCGTGATATTTTACAATTTGATTCTGACGGGAATTTATTTCTGAAAGTAATTTCCAACGATATTACATACATACATATATATTGTATATATATATATATTTGACGCGCGCGCGCGCGCTTTTGGCGCGGGAAGGAGAAGAAACGTGATATTTCACAATCTCTCGTATCTAGCGGGCGTTCTTTTTTTCCGCGAGTAATTTCCGTCGTTTTGGCGTGTGCTTGCAGGAAATGCGAGAGCAGTCAAGTTTTCGTCAAGGACCACCACACACACTGTATAGACACTTGCCGTCCTGTTACCATGTGCGGTGAGGTAGTCGTCCCGGAGGACCATCTCGACGTAAGTAATTACCCGATAAGTTCTCCAACCGAGTTAAACGACGCAATAAATATCGGAGCCGGTCAAAGGAGTAGCGTTCGAGAGCGTTGGAGAGACGGGCCGACGATTCGCTCGCAGATAAAATTTGCGAACAAAAATTGTTTGAAACAAAATGCTTGCTTGTTTAAAAATATCTTTTATTTTAATAAAATTTTGAGCAAACGCGCGCGAGCGTAATGGAATTTTATTTTTCACACTTTATATATGTGACGAGGAGATATATAACTATTATTATAATTTCATTACATTTATTCGTTTTACTTTAAGTATTATATAAATTTCTATTATGTGTGTTTACTTTTGCCGTAGAAAATAAATTATAAAAATTTAATTCTGTATATTGATAACTCCATTAGCGATATAACATATATGTAGCGCGTTAAAAACGACGCGTTATTTGCACGAATTGACTTTGCATTTAATTTGGAAATTGCGTCTTGTTGAATTTGGCATCTGATCAAATTAAAACTCGCTGTTTATACATCGCTCGACGCGCCTCGAACAAATTCTGCAATAAAATGATAAAAATTCAGATTTGTTAGTTTTTTTTTTTTTTTTTTTTTTTTAATACATGTACAATATATACTATGGCCGAGCACTTATTTCAATTACTTGGTTCGCGGAATTTTTAATATACGACCTATTGCATGATTCAATCATGCATATTGTACATTCATAAGAGTGTCCTTAATTCAGTGAGCTTATATAATCTCGGGAAATTATAATTTCTAATCAAGCTCAACGCGCCCACATCTTCCGCATTAAATTTAGTCGCGGATAAATTTGTACTGTAAGAAGTATTTCACGTTTTTTTTTTTTTTTCCCGCAAAAACGTTGACAGACTGCGATCGCGCGAGCGTGATATTCTTTTTAACTTTTCGCGCGTACATACATCCGTCGAAATAACAAGGCGACGAATACTCTTCATTCGCGCTTCATCTTGATCGATTACCAGAAACTCGCGCGGAAACGACGAGCCTCGGAAACGAGAGGCGTTAATTGATGAGTGGCTCTGTGAGACGCGGATTGGTGTCGGATAACTTAATAGGAGGCGCGTCATCGCGCTCGTTGTTAACGGTATTTCGCTGACAGCGCGAAATTATTTACCATGTCGCCGAAGATGTCGTCTCGACGGTAATGCGATTCCGCTCTCCGGTTCGTCAGCGTTAATGTTTCCGGATATTCTCCGTAGTTTACGGGGAGGATGCAATCTTCTTTGCAGCACACTTTGCGCTTACCCGATGCCTCATTACGACGGGCGCGAAGTTGTTGTCGCTACGTCATTTCGCGTTGGTGCGCAAAAATTTGTGACGTCGTCGAAATAGAAAGAGACGCGCGTCTTTTTGACCAAACAATAAATTTTGAAATTTATAAACTACTCGAGCGTCTTAGCAACGCGCGCGCGCGCGCGCGTTGCCAATCGCGCTTTTTACATTCTTATCGCACAGGTCTGCAGAACGTGTAACGCGACCGGACACAATTGCGGGGTGGCCGAGGGGAGTAAAGCGGGTCCGGGGATCGACGGAGCTGATTTCGTCTTTTACGTATCCGCCATGCAAACCGAGAGATGTCATAAGGGTTTAACGGTGGCGTACGCCGCTCATTGCCAGCAGGAAGCCGCTTTGGATCGGTAAGTTTGATAAGAGAGAGAGAAATTAATTGCATTAAATTCTCACGGAATTATATAATTTAAGATAAACAAAAAAAAAAAAAAAAACAAAATGTAATGTCGGTCGTGTGATTACGAATTTCGATACAAGGGATGAAAAATGTGTGTTGTTTTGCTATCTTTTTTTTACTATCGAGTGATAAATGAGCGAGTGCGTACAATTTTCGCGATATTTCGCGCGACGTTCGAGAGAACATAATTAATAATGCATTGAATAAGCCGGAGCCGGTGATTGTAACACGCGCAATTCTGCAAGCCGCGTGTATGAACAGAAGGGTGGAACGAAAGCGCAAACACCATCTGGCAGGAGTATATTTCACGAGAACGTCGGATTAAATATTTGACAGGATTTATAAGAGAGATTATTTATGTGTGCAAGAGCGAGCGATTTAACAATGACGAACAAATTACTGACTTTAATTAAAAAGCGAAATATATATATTCCGTTCTGTACTTATGCAGCGAATGAATCCGTTTTAAACGTTGCCAACATCTCTCTCGCTGAAATAATATATTTTACATCGAACTGCTTTAAATTTGTTTTTGTCAAAATAACTTACGATCACACGCGCGCGCGCGCGATGCGCAATTATTATTCCCATTGTGTGTGCGAGAAGAAAATAAAAGTTCACACGTACGACGTAAATGTAATGTTTCTCGTCTTCGGAATCCGAATTTTTTCAGTATAATGGAAAATTTTGCGGAAGCTCGTGATGATTTGACGTTTCTAAACTTTACGACCGCGCGCCGAAACGTGAACGCATATTGAGTAGATTAAATTTGTCTGTCAGGTACATACGTCGGCGCTCACGTCGCACAGACGAGCTCGACTGGTAAATGGCGTTGCGCGAATTTTTATTATTCGCGCGACGTCCGATCGCGTGATAGATCGACGATGTTCGTGCTGCGTCGCGCCGCTCTGCGCCGCTCTCCGCTTACTTATGGAAAAATTCTTAAAATTTATTCGAAACGCGAGAGAAAGAAAAACACACATTTTACCATAAACGCGCGCACCCGGCGTTGTTGTACGCAACTTGTTTTTTTCACATTCGCAATATTGTCCGTGAGAAATAAATATCACAGAGTTAGATTAACCCATTCGAGACGGCGATTTTTTTTCGAACACGGTCCCCAGGAGCGAAATTTTTTTTTTGTTTATATTGTACATTTTTAATAAAAAAAACTTGTTTACTGTGGAAATCACCCAATTCGCTTAAGTGAATTCGCACAAATAAGATGATTGCACACACCGTGTACTGCAGCTCGCTCCTCAGAAAATTTTTATCGCGAGGAGCGGATTGAACACCATGTGTGCAATGTGAGGTAAAATAAAAATACAAAACCAATGACAAATTTTGTTTTTCTATACTTTACAGATACTACACCGAAAAAATTATATTCTTGTAAGTAGAAGATTTTATACTTAAAAAATCTTCTTCAAGATTTTATATATATATATATAGATGATATTCTTCTGAAATTAAAAATATATTCTTTATTTAAGAATATATTCTTAATTTAAGAATATAGTCTTTTTCGCGCGCGATAGTGAGATATATATATGTTTTTCTATAGAGGCTTTTTATATTCTAATCAGTATATATTNTAATCAGTATATATTCTTATCAATATTACTATTTAGAGAATTTTCCTCTTAAAATAAGAAACTCTTCTTGGCGCCTATTTTAGTATAAAATATACTTAAAGTAAGTGGGATATCCTCAAAACAAGAATACAATTTTTTCGGTGTATTAATTAAAAAAAAAAAGTCTTATCTCGACGACTACTTTACTCAGAATAACTGTATAATTATTATTGCACACACGGTTTGCAATCGGTCTCGAATGGGTTAAACCGACGACGAGAAAAGAGAAAAAATAAATAATAAACAAATAAACATTTCTCGTATTTGCGTTATAATTAAAATACATAAAGGGGCGAGAGAGAAGTGCGTGGTGATTTCGTGGCTCGCTGAAGCGAACGAAATTGCTTCCAGGCCGATAGCCGGTCATGCCAACCTGTGCCCGGGAAGCATCAGCACGAAACCGCAGGAGTTGGAAACGTTGCTGAGCACCGTTAAACACGAGATCCTGCACGCTTTGGGATTTTCCGTGAGCCTGTACGCTTTCTACAGGGATGAGAAAGGCGAGCCCAGGACGCCCCGAAGAAGCGATACCGGAAAACCACCTCTTAATGAAAAGTACGTTCACCACCACCCCCCCTCCCCTACCCTCAAGTTGTGTCTTGTACATTTAAGGTTCTCTTATTATATGCACGCGAGAGAAGAGAGAGAACTGAGAGCCCGGCCAAGTGGAATATAATTGTTCGATCATTCGCGGAACGTTCGGGGGGGGGGGGGGGGGAGAAACACCGCGTGCGCTGAAAATAAACGGTTTCTTCTCCTGGTTAACTGGAGAATATATGTACTTTAAATTCGATTGCAAATCGCACGGGCGAAGTTACCTATTCAAGGAATATCTGATACTGTAGTTGGAATACCAAATGTCGCGCACTATCTGCGATCGATTCCCTTTTACGTAGATTTCTGCCAATGTTACGTAGAGAGAGAGAGAGAGAGCTTAAGCCGTTAGCATAACATTACGACTTTAAAGTTAACATTAAGGATTTCTCTCGACTGAAAGCCGCAGATTCCCTCGCAGAGTATTACTACCGGATATATGAGACTGTAAGATTGAGGTTGGAAGATTCTCTTATCTGTTTAATAATCTGATCACTTTGGTCGCACGGGAATGTTTCCATCACTTTAATTCGAAGAGACGATGAGAGAGAAAGAGAGAGAGGGAGAGAGAGACGAAATCTTTGCGTTCATCTTAATCAAACTTATTTTTTTATACAATATTTGATAAAAATGGATACCTCGTTCGCTTAATTCATGATTCTACTTCGCGCTCCGTTTTCTTTTTCTCTCTTTCTCGAAGCAGACGTCCGAATGGTGTCTGTGTGTATCTGCCTTTAAAATTGGAAAATTCCTTGGTATCCGGTTCTCTATTCGAGTCGACGGACCGTAACGAACTGGCTCCCGGCGCGTTGGCAGATGCGAGTTCTTTTCCCTTCTTCACGCGTTTCCCTCCTTCTGTTTCTCCATTCGTCTATTTCTCCATCTACTCTCTTTCTTCGCCGTCTTCTCGTGTTTTTTTTTTTTCACTCGCTCGCGACTCTACTCTCCTCCGCTGCCAAAATAGATCGAGAATCAAATGAATCCTTTCCACTTGGAATCTCGCGGAATTTTTCGCAGCTACGGATCGGACTGTAATAGATTTCGAGAAATGACTCTGGCATTCTCAACAAGTTCTCTTCGAACGCGTATAATTTTCCAATACGTTCTCAAAAAAAAGCGTTCCTCTCTCTCTCTCTCTCTCTCTCTCTCTCTCTCTCTCTCTCTCTCTCTCTCTTTAGAATCCGGTTTCTTCCGCTGATCTCGTGAAAATTATATCGCGTTGATTTTCAGCAAAGGTAGAAATTCTCTTCTTTTTATTTTTTTTTCCTCTTCCCAACCTCTTCTGATAGGGCATCGTTCATCGCGTTTACACAGCGTACGAGGAATTATGAACCCACTCCGGGGGGCAACGCATGCGGAACTTCTTAGACTCTCTCTCTCTCTCTCTCTCTCTTGCGAACTTTTTATCGGCGAGTTCTGACGATTCTTTCCCGACGATTCGTCCCACGACTCAAATTGAGGGGACAGAGATTTTTGTCGGAGATAGCTGCTCGTTTTCTCCCCCCCCCCTCTTCCCCTCCCTTTCTCTTTCTCCACGTTCGTCTTTTTAATTTCCTTTCTCTTTTCGTTTTCCTTCCTCCCACTTCATCCCAACTTTCTCGTTTTTTCCTTCTGCTTGTTCTCGTTTCAGTTGCAGCCGCCGTTCCCGTTTCTCGTTCGTTTCGCTCCGCTTCGCAGACAGCGGCTGCTTCTCCGTTACAAATTCCAACGTTTCCTCGCAACCCTCCCCTCGCCATCCATCTGCTCGTGAACTCGCGCGTTCTCACCCCTAGAGCGTCTGAATATCTCCGGAGATCCTCTTACGTTTAAGGTTTACGCTAATCCGCGGCGATATAGATGGAGAGAGAGAGAGAGGGAGAGAGAGAGAGAGAGAGGAGAGGATCTTTGTAATCTTAGATTTTGAACGAAGGATGTGTAGACTTTGTAACGCGACACGATATCGCATTTAGATACCATCGTGCTCGCGAGATGTGATTCTTCATTTTCTTTTTAGATAAATAATTTTATTGCTGATATATATATATAGCCTTCCACACACTCACCAATGTTTGTTTGTTTTTTTTTTTTAATCATTTTTTGAAGCTTTGAAAAACAGGTTCTTCGAGATTACTAAAATGTTTTTTATGTTTCTAATAAAATTTCTACGTCATTCATTACAATTACAGCTTTTATCATTAATTAGTTATCAATTTACCCTAATGCATCATCGCATTTGTTCTAATTACCCGTTTTGCATACAAATTGCAAATTGTTTATATTATTTAAACATTTTGGATTTGACAATTAAATTGAAATCGTCATTTTGAGAGAGAGAGAGAGAGAGAGAGAGAGTTGCAGCGACAAATTACGGTATGTATAACGACGCACGAGCGATATTATACTTTTGTAGCTCTCTCTGTGATTTGTCGCGAATTAACTCGGAAAAGCTTTTCAATGAGATGTTTGAAAGCCGCTCTCACGGAAGCAAGAAATGAAGTTTCACGAGTTTAAATCCTCCTCGTGTTGCTTTTGTATAATGCGAGATTGGAACTTCTTTTTTTGTTTGTTTGTTTGTTTTTTTTTTTTTTTTTTTATCACCGACAACGTTATATTCGATTTGTCTACTTTGTGTTCTGTATCGCGTTATACACGATATTTCTCCACACACAAGAGCGCTTCCAAAACAATTTATGCATATGAGATACGCTGACGAGCGATTTTGCTCTGACGCTCAAGCGTAATAATATTTTTCACCTCGTGCTCGTTGCCGGCAAAATGGCCATTCGCGAATTCATCCGTCATGTCGGAATAGGGATGGAGGGAGGGGCCCCGCTCGCTGTCGAAAACAGCGTTTCGCCGACGTATCGCATCAATCACTTTATCGGCTAGATGAACGGAGAACGAAAATGCGCATGAGAAGGAGAGATATAGATAAAGAGAAAAAGAGAGAGAGAGAGACAGACAGAGAGATTCGAGTGCAATTATATTTATTTGCCGGTGGCGCGAAGTCAAATCGAGATATTCATATCCGTGTGACGTATGCTAAATACGCAAAAAAAAAAAATAAAAAATAAAAAACACATAATCCACTGTTTCCGGCGGATATAAATGGAGATCGCAGAAAAACAAGCTGAATACACAATCGCGTCAAGAATCTCGATCAAAAACTTTTTTAATGAAACTCGCATGACGGATGTTCAATTATTCCGTAACTTTTTTATTTTTTCCTAAATTAGAAACTCTGTCTATCTCTGTCTCTCTTTTTCTCGACGTAGAATCTCTCTTCCAGATTTATTTTTCGTTACATCCTACTTTTGAGAATATACATATATATAACGCGAATTTATTTCCGAATTCTTTCACAATTCCGAAACGCGCATTTTGCAACTCGCTGTGTGCGCAGCGCCCCGGTGCAACACGCGCGCCGGTGTGTGTCGCACAGCGCGGTGAGGATTATTATAGCACAACGATAGACCCTAGCCCGGTTCAAATCAGCATATGCTAATAACATTCGATACTCGTTTCGGGGACAGGTTACAAACGCACCAGTGGAGCGAGAACACGATCAAAACCGTGGTCAGACCACGCTGGCAAGTGCACGGCGGCTACGTGGAGAGGACCATGCAAATGATAGTCACGCCTCGAGTACGCGCCGAGGTTCAAGCGCACTTCAATTGTCCGGAACTCGAGGGCGCGGAACTGGAAGACCAGGGCGAGGACGGGACGGCGCTCACGCATTGGGAGAAGCGCGTGTTCGAGGTGCGTGAACGCACCCGAAATTCCCTGATTTGGTTTCCCGCACTCGCGCGCATCCATGCGCGCAATTATAATACTCCAGACGAGAATTTATATATCCTTCGGCTCGCGCTGACGCAAACCCGACTCGTCAATTTTGTCAATTTTGATTTGTAGATTCTGAAGATTATGAGGATTTTTTTCTTTTTTTTTTTTTCATATTATATCTTAACACTAGAACTACCAACTCCGTCGAAACGACGGTTTTCAGATTTTGTGCTTCGAAGATGAATGATTTATTGAGAATTCGGTGTTGTGTGTGTGTGTGTGTGTGTGTTTTGATTCAATTATAACTTTTATTTTAAATAAACTAAAGAGCACATTCACCAACTTTTTTTTAAATATTCGTCAAATTGACAGATGTGATAAAACTAAGATGTACATTCAACATCGGTAGTTCTAGATCTGATATAGAATCAAATTTCATATTTTGTTCTCAACCTTGCAAACCATCGCCGAGATTAAGTGATGATTTTTATTTTTGTTACCGAAACGTCACCGAAGTTTTCCGAAAAAATTAAGTCACACAACGCTCGCCCGTATCACAGGATCGGTTTTTTTCTCCGTTTTTTATTCAGAACGAGGCTATGACGGGGACGCACACGCAAAATCCAGTTTACTCGAGGATAACGCTCGCACTCATGGAGGACACCGGTTGGTATAGCGCCAACTACTCGATGGCGCAGGAGTTGGGATGGGGAAAAAATCTGGGATGCAATTTCGCCATGAAGTCCTGCAAGGACTGGATATCATCCAAGACATCCTTGCTGTCGTGAGTTAACTCCCTCTCCCGATGACGTATTTGACAGAGAGCGAATGGTGTCGCGATAAATTGCGTAACGTTTTTTTTTTCTCAGAAGCAAGTCGATACATCCATTTTGCAACAAGGTAAAGCAGGACCCGTTGCAGACCGAGTGCACGGACGATCGCAGTTCGGTTGCTTTGTGCAATCTGGTGAAACATCCCCAACCTTTGCCGAAAAAGTATCAGGTAAAAGGCGCGATGATTCATTCGAAAAGGAGAAAAAAATGCCGGAGAAAAAAAATATATTAATATTTAAAAAATCAAGATAATAAGCGAGAGAGATGTGTCTGCGATTATTAGCCGCGGCCGCTGTAACGTGAATATTCATGGAACGCGAAGAATCTCTCCGGGTTGACGGGTTTCTTCTATTGCAGAACTTTGACTCAATTCCCCACGTAACACCGGGGGAGGAACAATATTACGGCGGGTCGGTATCTCTGGCGGATTACTGTCCTTATATACAGGAATTCACGTGGAGAGCGCGGAATATAGTGGTCAGGGGTTCTCACTGTCTGTACGAGGAGAATAATCCGCGTAAGTCCCGCCGCACGCGCGTCCCGAGGAAGAAAGGCCTCGCCTCTTCTCGGACGTGTGTTATATACGCAAATTCGTTTTTTTTTTTTTTTTATTTTTCAGATCCGGACAAGAATTTCGCGTTGGAGAATTACGGACCTCATTCCAAGTGTTTCGACCACACCAACGACATGTGGGAGGAGAGAACTTGCAAACAAGCGCGACAGTGGCAGCATTGGGGTTCCGGTTGTTATTTGTACAAGTGCGAGGCCAACAGACTGCACATTATTGTGAGTTTTTTTTTTTTTTTTTTTTTTATTTTCAATAAACGCGCGTTGCGACCTATTATAAAAATTCTCACGACACACTCGCGAACTTGTTTTTTTCTTTAGGTCGTGATAAACTTCAACGTTTTTTTTTTTATTTCAATGATAATGGAGAAATATAAAGTTTCTTTCAATATTGAAAAAAATAAAAGAAACCTTTTTTTTTGTTTTGTTCTTTCAGGTCGGCAACTACACTTATACTTGTTACCACGCTGGACAAGAGATTATTATAAGAATTATTCAGAACGGTTGGTTGCACAAAGGCGCGCTAATTTGCCCTCCGTGCCGCGATATTTGCCAGGTACGCGAGAGAGAAAGAAGAAGAAGATATCACGCACAAAAATATTGTTTAAAAAACTGTGGCGCTCTTGGCGCGCGATTAATGCGCAGCGCGTTAATGCAACAACATTAAAATCAATAACGCTGTAATTTCGTTTTTTTCAGGCGGAATTCAAAGCAAAAGGTGTTGAGTGCAAAAAAGGCGACGAGCATCCACCTTCCACATTTTATCACAAAGACTATCTCCACTGCGCGTCCGCGGATAGTCTCGGTCTGAGTACGTCAACGCTTATTACCGCAGTCTTATTTCTCATCGTCAGATGATACGCCGTTTGTTTTAGTTAATGTTCTAGAGTTGTTCAATATCTCTAGATCTGTAGGCAGCACTTATCGACTCACGGTTCATATCTCGGCAGTGAGATTTTCAGTCCGGTCTGAAAATACTTCGTTTCTCTGCGATTTGTCGGGCTTGATGTCGTCGCATTACAAAAACAAAAACAAAACAAAAAAACAAAAAAAAAAAAAGAAAACGTTAATAATATCGTGATGACAATCGTGATTGTGCTTGTTATCGAAACGAGGAATTGGTCAAACTGTCTGAAAACCCAACAATAATTATTGACTAGTTTTCACACATGTTGCGGCGCGCGCGATAAATTCACGATTCGATTTCAACAATTTATGGTGATAACATGACGAGGCATTTTTCGGTGCCAATGTGTTATATATGCTTCCCTGAGCTGGTTATTCATCTTTGCCAACTTGCTGGTTTTATTATTACCGTATACGTTTTCATTACGATAAAAATTCATACACACATAATGCATAATTTTTGTCATTACACGTTGCGCGAAGAAGAAATATTGTTCTAAAAAAAAAACAAAAAAATACTAATAATACAATCTCGCCCGCTCGCGCGATTTAAGATTATTATATTATAGATAATCTAAATAATTAACGTTATTTGACTGATACGTACACACGGACTGCAACCGCTGCCGATATAAAATCCAATATTTACGATTTTAAAAAAGAATGATATATAAATTATACAATAATTGTAGGAATAAGCTTTATTTCTTTCTATATTCGTCTCCAGGAGTTGTATTTGAATTGGGATTACAATAATTAAGTTGTTTACTTGTTTCTAATATTTACAAAAAATTTTACATTCCAGCAAAAGTATAATATATATATATTGGCTGACTTTTTTTAAACAGCCTGTTAGCAAGAAAATTCTTGGCGTATAAGAGTTTATAATGTAAGTTGTGAAATATGCATATCGAACTATATATATATATACATCACATATATGCATAATATGGACAAATGTAAATGAACAAATGTAAACTGAAGCGATTTTCAAAAGTATATTTGATAAGCTAGGATATATCACGAATTATTGATCGTTGCGAATCTGAGTGCGTGTATATTGAATGCGTATAAAATAGAAAAACTAAGTCTTTGTACATATATATACAGTAAAAAAAATCTTCAGTGATGCAAAAGAGCCACAAGACCATCAGCTCTTATTTGCTTTAATACAATGTTAAAATCTTACCAAAAGTAGCGCAGCTATTATATCTTATTTGATTTACGTTAAATATGCATATCTGAATGTGTCAAGGACACAAAAAATCTTGTTTGCATTTTATTATTTAAATCTGACATGTCTGTTTTTGACCGTGTGCAATTTTCTCAAACAGTTATTTTTACCACCGACTTTTTTATGTTTGCTGAAACCACACGATTTCTTGGGTGCTTCACCACGAATAAATAAATTATATATATTAGCGCCGTGATTTGCGTAGATTAACTCGTAAAATAAAATATCTCCGATAATATTATTACTAAATACAGTCCAAATGTAAGTTCATGAGATGTTCATTGTACATATTGAAGTCTGTATATTAATCATAAGATACATTTGTTCTATTTTGTGCAAAAATTTTAATTGAGCAAATTGAACTGATTTTTTGACATTCCAAGACATTTGTTTGAGTTTTCAATAAAGACGTCCTGATTGCTTTCCATTTTTTTTTCCTAACGCGCGAATATTCCAATTTGATAAATATTTGAAAGTTCTTCGTATAAACCACGAGAGCGTTTAATATAATTTTGTACAGAAATCGCATGTATATCTAACACATGTACTATGTACTTTGTAAAAAAAAAAAAAAAAACTTAACAATATCACAGTATTGCGTCCAATACTGAGATGTATATTCGAGAATATTTCTCGTGGATTCCTGTGAATCGTCGGTTTTGCTCGACATGGGAACGAATTTTCATTCGCGCACCAGGGGTAAATAATGTTAATATATATTGGGTGCGATTATAAAATCGAGAAAGTGAGTATGTGAGAAAAAATTTTTTTCAATAACTTCAAGACCCAATTCTAAGATGATATATTTGAAGATATATATAAATAAGTTATGCGTGTTACGAGTGCGTGCTATTCAACTACGTGTATCATACAATATATTCAAAATTTTCAACTGTTACGTTGTGAGATTTTTATGAGAAAGATTATAGGATTCATATAAACACATATTAGAACGTGTGTTTTTGGTCTGTCACTCTGGGTTTTTTTTTGTTCTGTAGCAACAAACTTTGTTGGTTTTGGTAGTTATATATTACACGATTGAAAAAAATATATATTTAAATATTTAAAAATATATTTAAAAATTATATTTAAATATATTTCATATACTTTGTTGCGCGGTTAGAAAAATTGCATACAATTGCAAATGTCTTTTTTCTTTTTTTTTTTTAATTGAAGTATATAAGCTATTAGCGACACATAATATTTACGAATGACTATAAATACATATATATATAATATATCTTTTGTAGAATATATATATAATGTTTCTAATAAAACTATTTTTAAGATATATTGGAAAAAGCTCGCGAATGATTAGATACGAAATTTTTAAGCGCGTTGTCGGTTTTGTGGATTTTTTTGGATTCAAATTGATCGAGTACAAGTTATCGTTTGTTTTTTAATTGTTTTTTTGTTTCAATTCTTGCGACAGAATATTCGCTACAGATTTAATATATATGTGTACATCATCATTTTTTGAGAATGTGCTATCGGTAACGTAATAATTTAACTTTTGAAATAAATTGTGCCATTATATTAAAAAGAAAGAGAATATTTCTCTTGTGAACTAGAGACATAGTTCTACCGAAAATAATTCATTCAGAAAATTGTTAATATCGATATAAGAATGAAAAACTATTAAAAAAAAAATTAAACAAATCTTTGATAGTTGACTAAGACTTAAAATACGTATTTATATATCAGAATATGTTCAAGAAGTGAGATTATTTTTACAGTTATCGAGAGATTGATACGACTATAAAATATATATGTACGTCACGTTGTGCAGGTTTATATTTCAGTTTAACATAATAAGAAATATGATAAACGATAGCTAAGTTTTAGCGTTAATAATATAGTTACACCACGCGCAGATATTGTCGCCAAAAATTGCATTTAATCCTCCTGTTGTGGATTTTATTGACACACGAGACAATATTTTTCTGTAGTTCGTAAAAAAAAACATTGTTGACGTTTACACACTTTTAAAATTCTCTGAAAAAATAATCATTTGATTACGACACATAAAAAGTAACTAAAATCTGAAATACGAGCTTATAGTTGTGAGGGATTAACCGGAAACGTTAAAAATCATATCGTAATAATAAATGAAAGAGCGGCCACAGAGGAGGATTTTTAAAGCTCAATTGTGCGTTTTATCATAGCATTGAGTTTTCAGAGTTTGAAGAACATGCGCAATTTTTAAATCCATATAAAGTGTTTACTGTATAAAATTACACGCACTTTGAAGTATATTTTAATGTAACTGCAAACTCTGCGCTACACATCACAGATAATAAAAATAGTTAAGCCACTTTTTTGCATCGCAGCACATTACAAGGTGCTCACTACCTCGGCTACATTAAGCAATTTCTGTATTTTATTGCAAAAGGGGTATATAAGAGAAATGTATTGTAATATGAAACTCTCTCTCTTCTGGTATTTTGTTTTTGTGAATAAAACAAAATTATGTATACAAAGTAATAAACAATTAAAAAAAAAAAATTTAGAATACAAACGCGTCGTTTTTTTTAGGGGGGGAAGGGAGTTTTGTTGAAAATTCTTTCTCAAATTATAAAATATGTATATGTGTATTTTTTTTAGAACAAAAGAATGTTATGCGCGTGTGTGTTTCTCGTAAGAAATAAAGTACAAGGATATTTTCTTCTTGTACGAATTGATTATTTATTGACAAACATACGCCATGTTATGATTATATACATTATTTCGCAGTACAGTCGTTCGCAATCGTCGTCTGCAATAATATGAAATACTGCTGTTGTATCGAACGTTTAATAAAAACTTTTTCACAAGAAACTATTTGCTAAACTACATTTAACAAGAATTTGTATTTTTTTAATAACAAGGATTCTTATCTGGCAACAAAACAGTTTGTTTGAAGCTTTGTTTAAAAGTCAATTATAACTAGTCAATAATTTAAAAATTAGGCATTTTCTTGTATATTCGAAACTTCACTCACGTTAGAATCGACGCGATAATTAACTTACCGACCGACCTGCGATCGATTTTTTCGTTCGATTTTACTGCTAACAACTCTTTTTTTTTTTTTTTTTTTTTTTAAATATGGAAAACAATACATAGCAGGTAAATAGAATTTTACTGCAATGTACACAGGGCTAGTCTTGCTCTTTGTACGATTTACAATACATATACACATATCTCCTGTGCGTTCTCGTCTCTTGTCGTTTACTTGCACACACTTGGAAATTTCCATTAGATGTTCATCAGACGTCATATAGTATATTATGGGCGTCCATTAGACGTCTAATGGACGTTACGCTTGTGTCGCACTATACACGCAAACAATTGATTACTCTGTCGCTTGTGTGTAGTTTTCTCAAATAATGATAATTATCTAAAGCCTCCTTTTTTTTTTTTTTTTTTTTAAGTAATTATCATTACTGCTCATTAAACCGACGCGGAGAGAGCCCCGTTTGCCGCGATAAATTTATTCACAGAACATTAATTCAATACATACTCGTCTAGAAACACAATTGGGAATTTCAAGTTCGCGATGATTTACGACGCCAACAATATAATCCCTGGTCTAACAATATGATTCGCGAAATACAAAATGCAGCTATTGTATACTTAAATTAATTACGGCGCGCGTTTCAATTCCTATAGTTTACTCTGCAAAATGAATGAGCCGAATTAAATCGACTGACGCATGCGACCGATTTGCAGAGTTGTTTTTACACAATATTTTCTTCCTCCCTTTCTCGATTAACGATCTCTGTGTCGATTTACAAAAGGTACCCCCGATTAAGGCATTCGTTCGGTTGGTGATTATTAAAAGTCTCATTGTTTACCCAAATAATCTAACTAGTCGCCGTTTATTTGCAAGTTAGCTAGTTAGTAATTATCTTATCTAAAAATTCTATCTATATACGCGTAAGTCGGTATTATTATTCTTATTACATGTATATATATATATATGTATATGTCGAATTGTTGAATACAAAAATCTCGATTCGCGTATTCGATTCGATACGAAGTAGCGCGAATATCGTCGCGGACACTGTCTCGTGTCGATGGTAAATCGTTTGCAGGCAGTGTTTCATTTTTTTTTTTTTTTTTTTACTGTCCTTTCTTCAATCTATTCTTCTCTTCACAAATTTTCTCGCTACGTGTCTAGGAATTGTTTTCAATTTTTTTTTTGCCTTGTGACGCTATTAGTTCTACTCTTTATCACGTTGAACAATTTCGAATGAACAATTCTCTCTCTTGCGTAACACACGAGTCATTTGTTTGCGTTTGTAACACTACAAGAACTTATCTCTTTGCGCGCGCGCGCGTGTGTGTGCGTGCCTGTGAGATTTCTGTATATAGCTACGTACCTAGAGCAGTAATTAATCTCATTTTGGGCATTAACAGTTTGCATACTTGATGCAAGATAGATAAGATCTTTTTGAAAAAAAACAGCACAAATATAAAGAAAGAGAGATTATAAATTTCCTAGAAAAAACTATTTCAATGAAATAGTTTTGCAACGTGCGTAAGATATCGCGCCGCATTTGGAAGCTTTAAAATAAGTATCTTTTTTTTTAAGAATATTTTTTTACGGTTTATCAATATTATTAACATTATTATTTCTTATACTCTCGCGTCAGAATAAGAAAACATAATATATTTGAAAGGATAAAACACGCCATTGCTTTCGCGTGTGCAAATAATATATATATATATACATTAATCAGTTGAATATATATATGTATATATATATATATATTCTGATTATACTTTTCCTCACATATGCAAATACATAAGAGGTACTTCGGATAAGCAGCCTCTTGAGATTTCAAACGTAAGCTGGATATTAGACTTTCGTGGCAAAAGCTTCAGAGAGCTCTGTATTGCCATCTTGAGGTACGCTTCGTTATCGACAACCTTGAAAGCCGCAACTAATGATTTATCAGCTGGTATACGGATAATAAATATATGTATATACACCGTCGAATGAAATATTACAGTGAATTTTATAGTTTCACGCAAATGCTCATACAGCAGCGTTTAGTTTTACATAAAATTCGTCGCCAAATGGGTTTCTTAATGCTTAAAACTTTCGGAAAACTGTAATTCTTACCACTTATATAGACCTAGCTAGCACGTAGTACTCTCTCGAAGAACTTAAACATTTTGAAACGCAAAACAAACTTGTTTTTGAACATAAATGGTAATTTGCATTTAAATTCCGTTTATTTAACTTCAAGAAAGAGAGAGAGAGAGAGAGGGAGAGAAAGAGAGAAGATATTTAGAGGAGAAACAAACGGGTTATAAATTTTCGAAGAAAAATTTTTGACAAGACAAAAGCCGCACAGAGTAGAATTTTTTTTAAAAGCAAATCCTTTCATAATCAGAGAAGAGTGTTTGTGTCGTTACGCGTTGCGAAAGTGTAATTATATTTCGCGCGAATCTCATTTATTAATTATAGTCGCGACGTTGAATTTTATTTCAATTGATTTGAAAAACGTGTTGCGTATGAGAGACTCGGCGTTGTCGACCTCATTAGCAGTTCCATCTTCGATCGTCTCGGCATCTTCTCTCTCAACTCAGAAAAGCCTACGTGTCGGTGGAAGGTAATTTCTTCTTACCGTATACAAGAAGATTCTATTCCCCCACCAACACAACATTACGCCGCAAACATGTACAGCATCGATTCCGTGTTTCTCTCGTTTAAAGCAGAAATGTCATTGCCGTTTCTCGGATATAGTTCGATGAATCTTTCGATATATAACACAGTTCAATGTAATTTTTTTCTTAATATAATTTATTTCTATCTATAAATTACGCGGTGAAAAATTTTTCTTCAATTCTATACGCTTGCACAAGTCTGACGTAAAAACAAACAAGCAAATCTCTAGATATACACGCTCGTTATTATTTTAACAAATGTGAAAGAAATAATAATAATTGATAATTCGTGCTCTTGTTGCGATTAAATGTTGCATTACTCCGCCTACCATTTATGCAAATAAATTTGCAATATGATTATATTGCGTTTGTTTAACATTTTCGGCAAATACGTTTTGTTTAATGCTGCCGAATAATAATTCGAAGAAAGCCCGAAAAATATGTAGAATAAATAGAATAAATTTTTGCGATAATTGATGAAAGCAACGCTTTTATCTGTGGCAATTTGTTGCGGTATAAAATTCTGCGATATTAAAAGGACGATTCCCCCCATTTCTTGTGCGTGTCTCTCCGTCGGGTTTTCTATATGAATTACGTGTGCACTACTATTTTACGGATATATAACAAGTTATACGCCTCACGGCGCAATGAGCTCCTTATTATTGAGCAACCAATCGTCAAAATCGCGCGTTGAGATTTTTTTTTATTTTTTTTTTTTTTCGTCACGCAATTTTCAATCGCAATTTTCTCCTTACAGCGTGAGTGTGTCGCGCTAAACATTTTACATCGTTCTCAATTAAATTTCTTAACAAATTGCATCTTTCAAGACAACAAAAGAGATCAAAGAATTTCCGCGAGAATAAATCTGTATTGTATAAATTTTCGGTATCTTTACTTTAAAGTGCGCTTTAATGTAATAAAGCGCGAGAAGTTTAAAGTTCGAGGAAGAAGCAATTTTATGGTCGAGCGCACTTGGTGCAACGGTGACTCACTCACGCGTTAATAATCAATCGTGGAAAACGAAGCGTGGACGCATAGTCGCGTGAATGACGTTAATACTCGCAAGAGGTCCTTTTCTCGCCGTGATTAAACGTCTCTCTCTCTGTACATCGTCGAGAAAACGGCGCGATTAGTATCCCCCCCCGGCGTTGACGCCGTAATTAATTTCTGCAATCGATCCTGTCGCGCGACACGCGGGAAGAAGCTAATCGCGGTATGTTGTACGACGCGCGTTTACGAGCGGGTGGAATCCGCGCGCGATCAAGATATGCTACTCTCCCGCGTATCCCACTCTGCGGGAGATCAGGACGCGGAAGATTTCAGGGGTGGAAATATAAACCCGCGATCGCACGTATATACATATATATATATATATGTACGCGCGGGGACGCACGCGATTTCATCGCGTTTCCAGATTCCGAATAAGATCCGGCAGACTCTTGAAGCGCGCGTACTCGAACCCACGACCACGTTCATTGTTCTCCTCCTCCTCCTCCCGCCGCATCCCTCGTGCCAGCGAGGGTGCGACGTCGTCCTCACGACGACGGTGTTGTCCACGGAAGAGTTGAAGCCGGCTTGCCGCCACGCTGTACTAACTGGCGTTGTCTGGAGATCCGAAATCCGTCTGCGTGGCGGCATCTCTGGCTAAAATGTCCCGTCCAAGAACGCAATTGTCATTAGCAATTAAAACGAGACGTTAAAAACGTATGTAAAAAAAATTAAAAATCAAAAGTACAAAGAACGAAGATATTTAATATTGATTAAACAAAACCGTGTTTGCAAATTTACAAAGAGCGAGAAATGGAAACGCGTAAAGTTAAAATTCAAGAAGTAAATTTATATCTTTATTCGGTAGATGAAATTACTCGCGTAACAGAGTTTTTATACCTCTTTTTTATAGAAGGCTTTAAAAAGTCTGTTTTTTTTTTTAACTAGAAATTTTGTTAGAATAAAAAAAACCCAGTAAAAATCTTTGCAGCAAGGCACGAGATGCGCGTTTATATACAAGGATATTTTGTGTACCGTATAGAGTTATAAAAAAAAAAAAAAAAAAAGTACAACGGAATTGAATTACGGAGGACGTACCTTTCTCGTTGCGTTTGCGTATATTTTTATAGAATGTTATTTAATTATTCCTCCGCAGAGATTCCTTGTAAAACTTTCAAAGAACGCGCACTGCTGCCTTTTTAATATTCAATATTAAATATATCTTCGTCTACCGGATGTTAGCGTATCTTTGCGAATTTTTTTATACACATTAACGAAATTACAAATCATCGTTGCGTTTCCATGTGTGCAAATATTAATTTAGTCAGAAACCTTTAAATGTTCATATTTTATTTGCGCACGCGAATTAAGAGAATATTATTATTTATGTACAAGTATTAAAATTATATTTAATGCATCAATAACAGTTTTAATTAATATGAAATAACATTTAAAGCGCAAATTATAATCAAACGCTCTGTCATTAAATTTTAACATGATGTTAACAATATGGATCTTACACAATGTAGAGAGAAAACAATGTTTCTCTCCGACGATGAATAATAGAACAGAGGCATACGTATTTGGGCGTAGACGCACCTCACGTGGGCGCGACTTCACTGTGTGTCACGTGTCCAGTCTCCCAAGGGAGCGGCGGCGGCGTATTCGCCAGAGATAATGAGGAACAACGCGCCATTGAGCATCGTTCCATTGAGCAACGCTCCAGACCTGAAATGAAAGATCAATTCGAACGGCGGAATAAGATCCGCGCTGTTTAACGACCAAATTCGCGCGCTACGTGCGCGCTACGTTCGCGAGTATAAATATTAATTACCTTTGCACCGCGCGCGAGCAAAATACCGTTTACATCGCATTTCAACAATAGATCCGAAAACGAGAGACACCAGCTACGAGAGTTAAATTTGGTTTTTGTACCTCTCGATTTTCCCGCGTTCCCGCGATCGCACCCGATAATAAAACCACGCGACACGTTTATAAAATACGAATATACTTTTTTGCGAGAGAGAATAAAATTTTCAGCAAAATTTTCGCGTTTATTCCGTTCGCGTTTTAAGAAACGAGTTCTGTATCTGATATCACGTGCGCGCTTCCACACAAGTGAAATTAAAAACACAACTGTCGAGATCGCGACAGGCGGAGTTGCACCAAAAATATTTAATTTTTGAATTCCGAAAAATTTTCTGATTTCCTTCTGAATTTTCTGATTTCAGTTTTAACAATTTAACATAATAATAAAATATTAATTAATTATCTAGTTAAGTATTATTAATTGTTAGTATTAATTACTTATAAGTGAGAAAGTTGTGTGTTTGACGTTAGATTATTTCAAGTTTATGTATATATAAAAAAAAAACATTATTTGCCAATAATTTTTTTGTTGAATTTAGTTGAATAAATAATCAATGATTTTTTTTTTCTAAAACCCTTGTGAAAAATTAAAAAGAAAAAAAAACAAAGTTAATAAACACACGCTCTCTCTACAACTTTCGAGGTAATCTGATATTTTGTAAAATTTAACGATCAATAAATTTGCACAGAGCGAAACGCGTGTCGCAGCACAGTGTCAACAGTCGCTAAAAGTTCGATGTGCGCGTTTCTTCATAGTTCGCATTTGCGTGTGAGCGATGACACTAATTATCAGCGGCAATTACTTTAAATCCTCCACTTATAGATGTTACACCGAACGCGCGCGCGAGTACGCATTTATTGCCGATAATGGATCGTCGTCGAAAGATCAATTTTCCCCGGGTTTTCATTTACGCAAAACACTGATTATGTTAATCCCGACGTTTTTGCTGTGATATCATCGATGTAAAAGCGACGGGAATAAATTCCGTTGCAATTAACGCGATTGATCGATCCGACGATATAATCCATCGTCATATATCACATTCTAATTTAATAACTTTATAAGCAATTTTGTGCTCTAATGGCCCGAACTATTAGTTCGATCTATTCGAAATTTCGTAGAAATATTGAAAATAAAAAAACTCTCGATCGCGCGCGTGAGATTTTTCACTCATTCGAAGTGATACGCCGCGCTTATATGTTCGCGCTTGTTCCGGTTCTAACGCGATACGACGTGTTTTCTTCCTCCTCCGCATACCTGATAAACCGAGCGACGGTGCGACGTCCATCCCGGCGATGCTGCACACGTCCAGACCGCCGGTGCTGGTCGCGCAGCAGTGCTGCTTCGCTCCCAGTGGCTTAGATCTGCAAAGAATCTGCATATAAAAAGGAAATTAAAAATTTATCCCCCAATCATCAATCGTGACAAGCGTATATATATATACGCGGCGCCGACGCGGCGAAAGAATAAACGTGCGCAAACCTGCGAACAATAAATCAATCACTATATAGGCAGATTTTTTTTTATTACAAGTTGTTTTATCGAACACCTCCGCGAGATAAACTCGAAATATATTTGCTCGTGAGCAAGCGGCGATGATAAATAATCGCGACATTATCTCACGCGGTTTTCCCCCGCGACGATCGAGATACCACGGTCGTGTCGCGATGTTTCGTTACGCGCATGCGCCCGTTTATCATATATCAATGTAAAATAGTTTCTAATTGCGTGCTATATGCGCATGTTGCCGCGGGCGTAAACTTCTCGCAATTACACCTGCTTCGAAACGGAATACTTGAAACGCGACGGCGGTCCTCGAGGGGAATAGAGAGAGCATTTCGCCTGATATACATTTGTGCATATTCACTTATTACGAAGATACCGCGTTACACCGCAATATAACGAAACAATATGCGTCGTCGTTTAGTTGGGGAATTCATCACGGCAGCGAATCCCAAAGCTTTGAGCTTTGTTTATTTATTTATTTTTTTTTTAGATAATTTAGATCTTGTTTTCGTAAATTTTCGCGTTGAAAACAATTTGTTCCATGTGCAAGAATGTTTTTGCACTGAATAAATAATATTTGTATTTATGTGTACGTTTGCTTTTTTATATTTCAAAACATATCTTTGCCGTAAATTTCTTTCTTACGAAAACAAGTTTTTTTTTTTACGCGCATCATGAAATTGAAATTAAATTTTGCTTAGATTTTTTTATATGTTTATAAAAAAAAAAAAAACTCATGTTTGCGTGATTTTAATTAATGACTTTCGGCAAATTTAGATTACTTTTCTCGGAACTAAAATTTTAATGAGAGAGAAAAAGAGAAGTTTAAGAGAACACTCGTAACGAACCCGATACCAACACAAGTACGCGAAAATTAATTGACGTCCGCAAAAAAATCTAAACAAAATTTAATTGCCACCGAAAAATCGCACAACTTCCCCATCGCGCGCTCGTAATATCGTCCATCGACTTCTATTTATCGCGGGAATGATTATATCACGTGTGTGTAATCTGCGTGAAACGCGGCGGCTTTTTGCTTCAAACGAATGCGAATTCGTTTGTCGACGATCAATCGAATCGCGGCGCCCGCGTTGTAAAGGAATATCAAATACGAGGGTTGTACGAGGTCCCGTTTTAAACCGTGCGCGCCCGCGCGTGTTCGGGAACGAGTGCGCACGAGACAGAGAGGAAAAGCGCGTTTTGTGCGCGGGGCGATTAAAGATTTACTACACGCCGACGAGCTTTTCGAAATTCATGGCCTGTAAAGTCGAAGAGGCAAGATCTATGTAACCGCGGTCACCGACGTACGGCGAGTTTCTCTCTCTCTCTCTCTCTCGTTCCCGCTGAATCCGAAACGGGAAGAACTCACCGGGAAGAAGAAGGTACCGACATCGCGCCGAGAGAGAGAGAGCCCCGTCCGAGCATCGGGTGCAGGCGCTGCGTAACGCGTTTTGCACAAGAATAAATCTTGTTTTCCCGCCGACTCTTCTGTCGCGTCCCATGTTTTCCCGCGGGAGTACACCGCGTTAAGTCGTTCGTCTTCGTTTCGTTCGGCGACGCGAAAAAGCCGCGCCCGTCCTCGTTCGGTAAAATTTACCGATTCCGTTGCATCGTCGGGGGGGAGGGCCGTCGCGATTGACTTCGCGAAATAAAAGGAGGGGAGCGGAGAAAGGGAAGGGGAAAATGCGGATATAACAAATTTAACGGAACAAGCAAAATTGAGCAAAACTGGAGAAAGGGGAAGAACAAGCGGAAAAACCGAAGGAAAGTCTCGCGCCTTTGCCTTCGCGAACCTTCTCGCGAATCTTTCCGATCGGTTAAATTTCCTGGTTTACGCACAAACGGTACGGAGAAAATTATATTCTGTTCTTTTTACCTGCGAGCGCACTTAAAATATTTTAAAATAATTTGAGAATTTTTTACGCGCGCAATTAATTTCACAGTTTACTCGGCGCGCGTAATACGAAAATGTTTGTGCGTAGGTATTTCTCCAAAAAAAAAAAATTACACTCGGTGCTTTTTAAAATTTGCTTTATAAAAATTCGGATCTCTTTCATTGCGCTAGTTAAGAGAGAACAAAAAATGTATTTCTCAGTTGCCAAGTGCCAGTCCGTCGGACTGGCTTTTAAAGCGGACGTTTGAAAATACGCGCGCGCGCGCACACACACTCGCTCGTAACGAGATTTACGCGAAGTGCTCACACGTGTAACAAAGTGTTACCCATAATGGGCCCGATGTGTAATTCGTAAAAGCCCGGACAAGTTGGACTTTGAGATAAGCGCGAAAAGAAATGCGCGAACGAATGCTATTTGTCCGTTTCGAAATGTTGCCCTCTATTCGTCAGGAAACGAATTTTACGGTAACGCGCACACTATCAACCAAGAGCGAAATGCTTTAATTTCAAACCACCGGCGAGACTCTTTGCTCTTTGTTACGATCTGTAAAATTTATACGGAACAAGTTTTCGCGAATAATTGTAACATTTATTTTATATAATTGTTTTTAAACTTTTTACACACGCGGCCTATTTTTGCAATTTATATAATTGCGCACCTCTTAAAACACGAACAAAGTTTTAATTATTATGACCGACATTATTCGCGAAATAAATTCGTCATGGTCGTAAATGGTCATTTTGGAACGTAAAACGTGAACGTATATATATATATACCTTAGTGTAAAGAAGTTCCCTCGAGATTCGGCGGAAATGATTGTTGAACAGCCAGTAGAGGAAGGGATTCCAGAAGCTGTTGGAGAGCGCGAGCCACGTGGCCAGGAAGTCGAGGAACGGCGGCGGCTTGCTTCCGGTGCAGGCTGCAACGACTTCCTGGATCGTCCACGGCGTGACCATGACGATGAAACCAAAACTCATCGCGGCCATTGTGCGCGAGGCCGAGGTCGACAATTGTATCTCGTGAGCGACGAGCTGAAACGTGCGAGACGTCGTACGTAGAATAAAATCCTCGTTCCGCGCGTCGCGCGGTTCAAATAACAATCGCGCGATAAACGTCCGTTCTTCTTCTCTTATTTATACAGCGGGGGAAAGAGAATTTTTGATTTTTTAAGTAGGTAAAAAACAAAAGAACGCGCGCGCAAGAGAAATGGTCGTAAGAATAAACAGCGTAGAAAACATTTGAAATACGTTTCCAACTTTTCACACGTGTTCTTTTCAGACCTTGACTTTCGCGTTGTCTGCAAAAGCAAAGTATTTTGCATTCGTCGGAGTTGGACGTCCGTATAAAAGTCCGATAAAACACCGTAATTTCGTATCATCTCGCGCGACAATGTTAAAGTACGCGGGGAGTTGCGATGAGACGACGTAGACGACTATATACATATAACGAATTCATTTTTAATAGCATACCGACGTTTTCATTCTTCATTAAGAGTTCTTCTCTCAGAAGGGAGACGGAGTTGGGGAACTCCTCATCTTCTTAATAACTTTTTCGACTGATGAATTTTTGAGCAGAGAAAGTTGAAGCTTTCCGAGCGTCGGAACTGCCATCGGGCTTTCGGAGTTCAACGCTTATATTTAATTACACACAACGTTATATATACCCCCGTTTATAAACCGTGAGCGAAATTTGAATGAAAGATTAAAACAAGGCTGTTTTCTCATCCCACTCTCGTTTCAAGTGACACACATATAGAAAAGAAAATTTAACTTTTGAATTCCACTTTCCCCAACGTTTTCTAATATCATTATGACTTCGAGGATAATCTCATTTAGGGAGAGAGGACTCAAAGTCTCTCCCCCGTCTCTCTCTCTAAAGAAGATTTTTAAATACGCGCCGTGTATTTTAAATATATACACCGAAAAAATTGTATTCTTGTTTTGAGGAGATATTCCACTTACTTTAAGTATATTTTATACTAAAATAGGCGCCAAGAAGAGTTTCTTATTTTAAGAGGAAAATCNTCAAAATAGTAATATTGATAAGAATATATACTGATTAGAATATAAAAAGCCTCTATAGAAAAACATATATATCTCACTATCGAAAAAGACTATATTCTTAAAT